GTGAGTAAAGGCTGTCTGATGTAGCTCTCAGTTACCCTGCAGCTGCCCAGCTCCATTGCTGCCACATGGCCCTGCCACCCCCAGTTCCTCTACCACTGCTCCTGGACCCCTGACTCCCTCAGTCTGGATCCAGCCCAGGGTTTGCTACATGTTTGACACCTCTGTAATAGAGGATGGGTTAGTTCTGCAAAATCATGTGCTTGGTCTGTCTCATGAATAAAGAAACATTAGAAACAAAAAGGTCTTTGACCATTCCCCGCCCCCCCCAACATATTTAACTGATGCCTAGGAATGCCTGGGTCTATGGACTTTTAAAAATGGAGAACAAGAAAGGAAAAAGAATCCAAATGGGGATATACCGGACACATGGGGAAAAGATTCCTTTATGTATCTTTATGAAATAATCCATGTTCACAGAAACAAGACGCACATATAACTGCACTTAAGTAGTTTAACCTTTGTGACAAGTGAATTGTTCTGATCAATCCATTATCAGAGCCAGTCATGTTTAGAAAGTCACTCTAACTTCATTTAGCAGTGAACAAAGAGATCAGTAAGAAGTTTCCCCTCATTTAAGCCATCCAATTCTTCTTCCTAAGTTTAATTTAAACCTGATAGTTTGCCCAGTCTGCTTCTTCAATCCAAAACACTTTAACAAGGTTCTTACCCGAGTTCTGGTCAATCCACTGCAATGAATCCATATGTGCATTCAAAATTTTGCATATCTGCTGGAGCTAAAGAAAAAAAGACGAGAAATTTTAAATGTGAATTATTCCATTAGGGAAAGTGGAAATGAAAAGTAGTGAGGAAAATATCAGCTGGAAGCCAAACCAGTCTGATCCCAAAGATTCACTGACCCAGCAATGGCTAAACTGTACAGAGTAGTAGCGGTGCACCGATAAAGATTTTCTTGGCTAATACACGCGGCCAATTATTAACCAGCCAAGTCGACCAATACCGATCTAATAGCTGATTTAAAAGTAATGTAGCCAGGCAGTGTGCAGAGCAGCATCCAGCCAGTAAGTCTGTGGGGAGGAAGGAGCGCAGGGGAGGGAAGGGATGTGGGGTGGCAGATTGAAGCCCCCATGGTGAGGGAGGGAGTGGGGCTAGGACAGGGGCAGGCACTGCCCAGCCAGGGCAGTGAATGGACCCCAGGGTGAGGCACAGGGTAGAGTCACACAGGTGGCTTGTCCAGGGGCTGGCTTCCCGCCATGCATGCACCCCCAGGGGAGGCATGGAGGGCATGTGCCCCCCAGATTTGTGAGCGGGGCAAGGGCAGGCTTCCCGCTGCAGGCTCAAGGGCAGGGGCTACATGAGCCTCTTCCAGTGGGGGAGCTGGGCCCGAGCTGCACTGGGAGAGGTGGCTACAGGGTGGGTATGGGAAATTCTGGGGTGGCTACAGCCCACCCCACAGCCACTCCTCCCAGAACTGCTGCCACCTGCCCCACCCCCACCTGCCCCAAGCACAGCCCCAGCCCAGCCCCTTCCACTGGGGAAGAGGCTGGTGCAGCCCCTGGCCCCAAGCCTGAAGTGGGCAGACCACCCTCACCCGATGCACAAATCCGGGGGGGGCACATGCCGCACCCCATGCCTCCCCTGGGGTGCATGCAGCAGCAGGGAGCCACCCCTCCTCCCCACCCCCTGGAGGAACCGCCTGCAGGTCTGCCCCATGCCCTACCCTGGGATCCACTCACTGCCCCAGCTGCGCAGGGCCTGCCCCTGCCCCTCCCTCACCATGGAGGCCCTGATTCCACCCCCTCCGCCAGCTTCCCTCTCCACAGACTGACTGGCTGGAAGCTGCTCTCCAAGGTACCCAGCTGCATTCCCAGTTGCATGCATGCTCCGGCTGCGCACATGCACGTGGCATTTAATCAGTGATATTACTGGCTACCCCCCAAAAAAAGCTGATTGCCGATATCAATTTTCCTTTTATCAGTGCCAATCCAATATGGGCTGATATATCAGTGCACCTCTACAGAGTAGCATATTGTTAGTCACATCACTTAAGTAGAGCTGATGTAAAAGCATCATATATAGCTTTTCAGAGGGCCTTTTCAAAACGCTCTTGCAGCCTGGGGTTCCTTGAAATCAGAGGTGAGGTGCACGATAAAAAACAAAAAACTTAAGTCTTGAGGTACACTATGCAGCTTTTAGTGAAGGGGAAGTTCTCCGCTAAGAAGCTTACAGGCAAGTAATTAAGATCTGTAGGTTACGATAGAAGCAAAAAACAGAAAACAGAAATAAAAGCAGGTGTACATGGAACGAACAACGCCTCAGATCTGTCACAAACATTACAATAGATCCAAGGGGAGGGGGAAGGAGTCACAGAGATGCTACCTATGTAAGCATACATGATATTTGCCATTATACTTAGTCAAGAAGTGGCCTGCTCTCACTGGGGCATTGAGTAGCATATAGAGAGGATACTATCCAAAGTTCATGCCTCAAATTTGATAGCTTTCATCATAAATACAGTCTGGTGGGAAACACCCCAGAATTTAGCATTCTTATGTAAAAAGATAGTTCCATTTGAGAGCCGAGTTATAAGGAAGTTTTGCATTCTGCTGATAGCATTTATAATCTCAAAATTATCAGAGTGAAGCATAAGAATGTCACATTAGAATGGAGTTTGACCACAAGAAGAGAACTCTACAGGAAATTTGCAAAGTTCTCTTTAAATCTCAATACAACTGAGACGAAAAGTATCCACAAAACACAAAACTTAACTCTATGTATGCATATCTGAAGCGTTCTAAGAAGCTTCTCTCCCACCATCTAAACGTATCAATCAAAGCTTATACTCACTGGGTCACTTGTGTCAGCAGGGCCCCCGGAGGTGTTCAGGTGCTCAATGATGTCTTTAAGATCTTGTGCCATGCGCTTCAACTGGGCATCTATGTTTTCTGCCAATTTATAGCTGCAACACACAGAAGATGGAGGTCACAAGGTTCAAATCAGTCTCATATCACCAGTCAGTTCCCAAAGTATCAATGCATTCACTGCAGGGAATCAGAATTAAACATCCAGGATCCCTCTCAGTAAGGATATACCAGGTACATGGAGGTAACACTGGAAGAAGTATTTTGCCATACAAGTATTACTTTAGGAGTAGGAAAAATGAAGATGCTAGGATCATAGCTATTCTGGGGGCTTTTTTGAATATTAATGCCAGAGAATGTTTCCCCTCACCTCTCATGTAAGTCAAGACCATCTTCAAGAAAAGTGGTATCAATTTCACCAGCCTATCTAAATCTCCAATATTATGCTGCTTTCCAGATTAAATCTTCCTGTTCATGAATGTTAGTATATCAGCTCTGCCCCAATACAAACAGGATCTTTTCCTTACGTTCTTTCCCGCTCCTCATCTGCATGCTGCAAGTAGATAGTCCCACTCTGTTCTTTCACAGACTCCTCCAGTGGGGTCAGCAAATCTTCCAGCTCCTTCTGTTGTGACAGAATGAAGTCTAGCTCCTGATCCAACCTTCAAAACCAAGGATATACAAGTGAGCTACTGAAACCAACTTATAGGCTATAAACTTTATGGCACCAAGAGAAGGCTGCAGGGAGATGAACCTCAGAACAAAACAAAACAAAAGACGACTCTAAGCAGCCATTGTGCCTCTTACCTCTTCTGATCTAGTTTCACTTTCTCCACTTCTCTGTGTAATGAAGTAATCTAGAAACAGGCAGGAATAGACAATAGTTAAAAAGTGTTACCTAAATCAGGAATTGTCTGTTGTCCTATAGGGAGAGAAGTGGAAGGAGTAGCAAAACAAAACAAAACAAAAACATCAAAAATGTATACATTTCATGTTTGCACATACAAATGTTTCTAGAAAACAAGAACCATCCACAGAGGCTAAAAGAACTTTAGTATGAGAATTCTTTTGGGCCAGATAACTGTCTACCACAGGGTCAGGCAATTATTTCAGGCGGAGGGCCACTTACCAAGTTTTGGCAAGCTATCAAGAGCCACATGGGTAGCCCTGCCTCTTGACAGGCGCCCTGCCCCCTGGTCGCTATCTTGGAGCCAGAAGTCTCACCCCCTAACCTCTGACCTTTGCCACTGGAAGTCCCTCCCCTTGTCCCTGGAAGTACTCCTTTG